CCCCAAAACCCCAAAACCCCAAAACCCCAAAACCCCATAGGCATTTATTTGCATATGATTTTTCATGTTATAAATTGTTCATAGATGGAATTAAAATATAAAGTTTAGACTTTAAATTCATAATTAAGAATTTTTAAAGCCTGCAACTTTAAACTATCTAGTACTAGAGATAGAGTTTAGATTATCAAAAGGGTTTTAACTGTTGTTATTATTTATGCTATTACTATTGATGTTTATTTACATGTGTTCATAATTACTGTTGATCTTCGGTTTTTCTATAACTAATTTGGTGCTTCTATTCACAAAGCAAGGAGTCTTAATATCATCTCTCTCTTAATCAATGGAGCCTCGAATCTGATCACTCCCGTGAATATTATCATACTATTCCTGTCTCTCATTGTTTGAAATCTAAAAAAGATTTAACCTGAGTTAGTTCTAAGAAAGCATTTGATCTAACTACTTTCCAAATGTATCTGCCTTCTGGCCATCTGCTTCATACTAGAATAGCATCCTTTAATCATTATTAAATGCTTTGCTTAATGTTAATTCATAATTTTATTAAGGCGCATATCGAAAATCGATTTGGGATTGAACTCTGTTTATATGACTTAATAGATTGTTCCCAGTTAACTGTTGTCCTGCATTACTATTTTGGTAGCGATTTTGACCGAAACTAAGGTTATAGTTGCTATCAATAAGGCTTCCAACTTCATTCATATCCCCAGAACTTGTGTATCTATGAAGATTTTTTCTGTCAGTTTTAACGATCTTAACAGGATTCTAAGATTATTCCTTACTTTATATTGATTGTTATTATTATTGCTGTTCATATTCTCTCACTTTCTTAAGAAATGAGTTATTTTTTGTTAACAATATTTTCTTAACCTTACTTCTCTTTTTTATACTTCCTCTCTCACTAACTTGCTCACTATGAGATTTGTCAAACTTGTGAGGCATCGGTGGGGATTCAGTAATGACAAATTTTTTATTTAAATCATCATGTGGTATTTGATTAAAGTCTATGCCACCTTGATTACCAAATGTGTGAGGAATCATACTATCAAGAAAAGAGTTTTACGGAGAAACTCTTTGAGACTAAAAATTCTTGAAATTAGAATTCAACTTAGGAAGGTTGTGCTACTCAAGAGAATCAGTTACAGTTTCTAGTCTTAAGGGCTATGAAGAATTAATTTATTAAAGTGGATCTAACCTCTGACCTGAGCTAAATATTATCTTTTAATTTCTTGTCGCTGAATCTCTGTTCTCCGTGGATGAGTCTCTTGATGACGTTCGTGAGTTTGGTCTCCTGATATTTCTTAAAGTCTTTTTTATGAAGAACTCTTAGTTCATCTAGGTATCTGATTAGAACTAATTGCTTTGTCTTGAAGTGATACTTCCGTGTCAGGAAGATCTTTAACTCTCCTATTCTTGTTACTAACTATTAATATGTTTAACCTTATTAAGCTTTTTAAAGTCCAAATTTTTCAATGTCTCAAGATTAATCTGATTCAAGACTGAAGATTTCTACTGAATCTTTTGTAGAGCAGGGAATTTATAAGTTTATGAGTGATAATCTAAAGTTTTTTCAACTTGATACTATTACTACTCATTATTTAATAATAATTTGTTTTATCTTAAATTTTCAATTGTTCCATATATCTGATCATTTCCCTAGAATGTTTTTGCATCGTTTATGGTGAATTATTACATATTCATTAGATCGTTTTGCTAGAGAGTGTTTGTAAATAGTTATTCTTTGAATTTGAAACTGTTTTGAGAGAGTTACTTTGGGTTAAAAATGTCTAGAACTTTTTTCTCTTCATTCGGAAGTAAATATTAATTCTATTACTGCTGTAATTAAGGGCTTTGAAGATGGGATTGAGCTATTTATCTCAATTATTTTAATTTGCTTGCTTAATTTACTGACTCTGGTTCTAGCTCATTAAATCTCTATCTCTCAATTATTTTTTATTCTTCATTATCCTTCAAAAAAATATTGCTAGGCTATTGTGGTTGAATTTACTTGAAGGTTGTTGGACTGTTGCCAGCTGACATTCTCTTATAATGCTTTACAACTTGGATATTTTGTAGTTTCTGAGCCATCTAATTCATGAATTCTTTGTTTAAAATCACAACATTTTTCCCTTGCTTTTGAGGTTTTGACTATTGAGACTCTTCCGTGTTGTTCTGATTATTAGCTTGGGATTCATCTACAAATTACTCATCACTTTTCTATCGTAATAACCTTTTCATTCCCAAAAATTAATTAATTTGATATATTTGTTTGTTTTTACACTCTGATATTTTAATAGTAGTTGGGGTTTTGGGGTTTTGGGGTTTTGGGG